TTGACTGATTCCTGGCATCATTCTGCCTGATGAAATGCCAGTGATGGGTGGAGCCAGGACATGATCTTAGCGAACAGTATCGGGCCATCGGGGCAAAACTAAGAAAAATAGCTTAAGAAATCCTCGTTCTCACACAGATAATTGATACATTAGTGAATGGGAGGGTGGCAGCTGAAAATATCATTTAGCTGAAACCACTAAGACGTATTTCCTGATGATGGTTTCAACGGCAGCCTGCCCTGCTTTCGTCTTAAGAGCACTGGAACTGAACATTGCATCCTTAACCAGTCATTTCCATGGCGATTAAGAGGGGGGGGAGTGATATGTTTTGGTCGTGTAGCACCTGTCCTTTCATCTGAGTGGTTTGTTCCCTTGGGCATACGCATGCGAGGAACTGCAGGAATGTGCCAACCCTTGGGCCGACTGTCCCAGTCCTGTCTGTCTGGGTTCTGTTGGTGAGCAAAGTTCTAGGAAATCGTTTATCCCCTGTTCCAGATCCGTGCCACCATCAACAGTGGGAGAAAGCCAGCATTGCCCGAAAACCATGCGGCTCACCTTAAGCGCCAGACCTGTGGTGAAGAAATGGCTTGGAGAAATGGGAAAAGAGAATGTGGAAAAGATTCAGAAACAGCAGGCTGGGAGAGAAAAATGCATGGAATCAGAGAAAGAAGGCCAGTGAGTTTGGGAGATGTCGTTATTTAGACAGTCTCTCTCTGCCCATGGTTAATGATAGGGGCTATCTTCTGATATGCTTGCTTACTACTCTCATAGTATCTCAGTGTGTGAGGTCAGATGTCTGTTCGGTGCTCTTCCCACACTGGTGTGTCTTCCTCTTCCTTATCAGAACTCACCACCCAGGTTCCCAGGCATTTGTTATGTCACTGTTCCTCTTGGTTTTGAGGTGTTTTATTTATTAACTTCCCTAGAATTGTGGGTGGCAGAGTGATGTTGCCTTCGTGTGGAGTACAGCCCAAAGACATGAACGTGAGGCTAACTAGAGACTCTAAATTGCTCGTAGGTATCAGTGTGAGAGTGAATGGAGTGTGAATGATGTGTGCACCCTGCGATGGATTGGTGAGCATCCAGGGTGGGTCCCTGCCTTTCGCCCACAAGCAGGTGCGATTGGCTCCAGCTGCCCCGTCAACCCGAGTGAGGAAGAAGCAGTTTAGATAATGAGTGGATGGATGGCCTAGAATTACAGCTCCACAGGTTTGCTGTCTCTCTGTCGAGCTAGTCAAGACTCCTCCAGAAGCCCTCAATTTTTTGACACTAAACTGCAACCACCTTGCATACACTCACACACACACACACTCTCCTTGCCCCCCGACCTCCCTGATTCACAGTTTGGACAGGTGGGGAGGTCAAGTCAAGGCCTTGGGAATATCTGAATATCTTACCCCCACCACCCCCGGGGTCATTTTTAACTCTGTCATCAGGTTCTTGGTGGACTACAGATTTCATTCTGCACTAAAGCCAGATGGTCACCTCTAGCATTGCTTTTTTGTTGTTATGGTGGTTGAAGTTGTAACAGCAGTTTTCACTGCCCAGCGCTGCTAGGCAACTACAATGGGTTTAATTCAGTGTATAGCTTATTTAGTTACGGTGCAGACAATATACTACCAAAAATACATTGCTGCCCTTGCAAATTTTGTGAGCAATACATTAACATGGTATGTGTCATGAATGTGGAGTCTGGTATTTAGTGTAGAACTGAGATATGTGGCTAGCCACTTGGCGTTTTCTCCTGTCTGATCAGCTTCATCTTGGGTTATTGTTGGGTTACTTGGGTTACTGTTAGTATTAAAAGCCTGCATATGCTGTGGTCCTTCAGGACTGGATTTGCCCACCTCTTACACAGAGAGGTCTCTGACTGAACACCATGTCCTAGCACAGAGGAGAGAAAATTAAACCTCCACCATCCCCAGCTTTAGCAGTACTCACCATTTATATCATTCCGTTGTCCCAAACTCAGCCACACTGAATTTGCAAGGAATGTAGAATGCAAATACCAGGAATTAAAGAAACACTGCCAATGGGTGAGAGAGTTGATTAATATGACATCAGTAGAATCACACACAGATTTATTTTGTACATATAATATACAAATTTCTTATGACTGGATCTCATCATTTTATGACACAACACATGAGATATGTATATGGTCGGAATTCAGGTTAAGTGGAAGTCTGAAGGCACAGCCTCTCTCTTTAGTTTGAAGTTGGCAAAAAGTTGAACTCGAGAACATTTAACATTGCACTAATTTTTTTTTGTGATTTTGAATGTAGTCATGTAGTAGATATCTTTGGGCAAAGTGAGTTGCGGAAAACTACTTTTCATATTGTGTCTATGTCAGTGTATGCATGCCACTCTTGTTTTTATGCATCGGTGTGCGAGTATCCGCATGTTACCATGTGTTTTTGATGAAGTACGGAGTATAGTTGTGATGTGTCTGTCTGTGTGAGAGAGACCCCCCAAGGTTCCCTCTCATTATATTAACTGGCTAATTACTCTTGTTAGAACCTCTTCCACTCCAAGGGGAAAATAGGTGAAATTTCAGCTGTTTTGACTACTGTTACGAAAAGCTGTGTAACTATGTGAAAACTATGAATGTTAGACATACACTGATGAGCCAAAACATTAAAACTACTCACAGATACAGTGAATAATGTTGATTATCTCATAATAGTGGCACATGTCAAAGTCCACAGACAGATCTTAGCCGGTCAGTGAACAGTCGGTTGTCATATTCAATGTGTTGGATGTGGGAGAAATGGGAACTGAACTACTTTGACAAAGGACAAATCGTTAAGGCCTGACGAGTGGATTAGAGCATCTTTGAAGTGGCAAGACTTCTGGGGTGCTTCCTGTCAGTGCATGTGACTACCTATTGAAAGCGGTCCTAGGATGGACAAACCATGAACCGATGACAGTGTTTTGAGGGCTTAAGGTTCATCGATGTTCGATGGGCTCCTGAGCGTGAGAACTGGACCTTGGAGCAGTTTAAGAAGGTGGCCTGGTCCAGTGAGTGCCATTTTCTTTTACGTCATGTGCTTCAGCTGAGTACAAGTGCACTATTTACCTTGGAAGAGATGGCATCGAGATGCACTGTGGGATGAAGACAAGCTGGTGGAGGGAGTGTGATACTCTGGGAAATGTTCTGCTGAGAAGCCCTCAGTTTGGAAATTTAAGTGACATCAGTTTGATGGAGCTGTTTTGGCAGAGCAAGGGTGACCTTCACAATATCAGGCAGGTGGTTTTAATCTTGTGGTTGATTGGTCTATGGTTGAAAGCTTTAAAAAAAAAAAAAAAAAACTACAGAACTGCATCTATCCTTGGCAAATATTCAGACTCTAATGCTCAGTAACTCACTTGTGTTGACAGTGATTTCCACTACAGAATCCTGTCTGTTTTTAATGGAGTGCCACCTGAGGACCTGAAAATCACAGCCATTCAAACTAGATTTTGGCCTTGTCCATGCGTACAGAGATTATTCTGAATTCTTGGAATCTTTTAATGATATTATGTACCATAGAGGATAAAATCTCCAAATTCTTCACAATTTTGAGTTGAAAACATTATTCTTAAATTGTTGAACTATTTCCCCATGCAGTCTTTCTTTAGAGTGGTTAAGCCCTCACCATATTTACTTTTGAAAGACTTTCTATACCCAATCATGTTACTGACCTGCTGATGAATTATCTAATTAGCTGTGGGATGTTCTGCCAGTAGTCATTTTTTTGTTCAATGCATCATGTTCAACTTTTTAAAATTTCATATCCAGTTTTCTTTTTCCTGAATTGTCCCATCCCAAATTGTCCCATTTTTTTTTTTAAAACAGGTTGCTGCCATCAAATTCAAAATGAGCACATATTTTAAAAAAAATAAAATAAAAAAATATCAGTTTCAACATCTGATATTTTGTCTTTGTACTATTTTCAAATAAATATAAAGTTCAAATGATTATAAAATCATTGCATTCTGTTTTTATTTACATTTTACACAGCGCCCCAACTAGTTTGGAAATGGGTTTGTAACCATAATATAATACAATGGAAAAACCTCCTAATAGATTACAACCCCAATTCCAAAGAAGTTGGGATGCTGTGTAAAATGTAAATAAAAACAGAATGCAATGATATGCCAGTCTCATAAACTGACATTTTATTCACAATAGAACATAGACAACATATCAGATGTTGCAAGTAAGACATTTTACCATTTCATGAAAAATATTAGCTCATTTTGAATTTGATGACAGCAACACACCTCAAAAAAGCTAATTTATGTATTTGTATATTATATAGTAGTATATATTATATAGATGTATGTATGTGTGTCTTTTCAGAATATTGGAGAGATTTCAGGGATAGTTACTGTTCATTGTTTTATTATCAGCAGGTTATAATTGATGCTTTTAATTCATGTTCATTTTGTTTAGCACACATAAGAGATATAGTGAGGATAAAACTAAAACTTGAAGCCATGTAGGTTTTTTTAAAAATAATTTAAATGATTTTTGGCTTAAATAAGGGCACCAAAATGTGACATCAAAAATAAGTTTTTATCAAAAAGGATGTGGGAAATTAAAATGAATAATTATCATGTGCATTTGCCCATAAGTGTCGCTGTCTGCTCTGCTGCTGCCGTCTCTCCCTCTGCTTGGCCACACCCCTTCAACTGCAATTTCTCTCAGCTGAGTCTCGTTAGTATTTAAGCAGCTCTGTTTCACTCACTCTTTGCCAGATTATCATCGCAGCATGCACTACTCTCCAAACTTTGTCTTCGGTCTGACTTCCTGGAATCGACTCTGCCTGCCTCTGACAACGTCCTCTCATTCCTACCCCGGTAAACCTGATTGCCTTCTGCCTCTGAGTTCTGCCTGTGTGCTTCCTGGTTCCTGTCTGCCGTCTTCCTAGCCCCTGTCCAAGCCACCCTTCTTGCCACTCCACTGCCTGCCTGTGTGGACACGACCCCGTCTGCCGAGCCTCAAGCAAGCCTGATCCGGTGGCCCAGTGGTAACTCTCCCACCTCCCGTGTGGGTGACCCGGGTTCAAATCCAGCCATTGGCATCTGCTCTCTCGAGTTACTGGAAGAGCTCCACTCAAGATCCACAAGCTCTAGATGCTGTTCTGCACCAAGCTACTCTGCATTGCATTTTGTTTACCCCTGCTTTAAAGTCATTAAAAGTCTGTAAAGATTCACTCGTTCTGATTGTGTTGCATTTGGGTCCTGCCACTCCCCGTGTCAATAAGTGATTTATTCACTGTCCAGTGAATAAATTCCACTTTGATACAAAACTTTTCTGTTCAGAACAAAGGATTATATCAGACTGAAATTATTGGGTTACGGTCCTGCCCGACCGGTCCGCAGTGCTAACGACTGTTATCATGGCAGGTAGGTCTTGAGTTAGTGGCACTACTCAAATGTACTGCTACTCCACAGAAGAACTGACTTTCCTTACGCCAATAAACCAACTTCTTGACTGCTAGTTTCCGTCGATTTTGAAAAATATTAAGTCACATACTAAAAATCATGTTGTGTCCAGTAAATCATGACCGTTGCCAAAGACAAAGTTTAATTTTTATTCTTTGATTATATGTATACGTGCTGCTGTGAGTCGGCTGATATCCACGACCATACCTTTCATGTCCACAACTTTATATTCAGCAACAACTATTAAGTGAAAAGGGAATTATGATAAACATCCTCTGAATCAATCCTTACTCTTGATCATCGTTCAGCAATTGGCCATCCTCCCATGAGGTGAGTAGTTACTGACTGCTATTTTCATAACTTCTCCTTACAATTTGCGTTATAGATTTAATATTTAGGGATTATAACGTAATTTCTTATCATGCAGTGATGGATTCATTCGTACCCATTGCTTGTCCACCATAATCCACCGCGATGAAAGTTATGCTTCAGAATAACGCTGTCCTATAAAATATCACATGAATTAATTGTACAGTTGACATTATCCGTAAGCAGTGATGACGACTTTCGAAATTCAACATGAATCTTGCTTGTTTCGCGGTCATGCTTTTGTTACCCAGTAACTGCTTGTGCGGTCGGCACAATAATAAAATACAACCAAATCAACCTTTGCACCTGAGTCCAGTCCACATTTTCCTGGCCACCGTGCCAAGTCCTACAGAAGATCTAGCCACTCCAGATGGACTCAGCGAAGGTCCCATTACCCACTGAGTCGGGAGAGTTTGCCGCCCACCCTCCCGACCTCTTCCAGCTAATGGCGGAGCAACAGAGGGAGATCGGCCATCAAGGTGCTATGATAGATGAGCTTGTTCGTGGGGCCCGTGCACTTGCCACCTCCCGTGCTCCACCACCAGCGCCCTCTCCCGTCCCTCCTCTGGGACTGCAGCCTGCCCCCTCCTTTTCCTGGGGTGATTCTCCTGTGCCTCCCCGAACACTACGACGGCAACCCCCGCTGCGTGTAGAAGCTTCCTTCTACAGTGCGGCTGATACTTCACGTACCATCCTAGCCTGAGTGATGCCGAGAAGATCGCCAAAGTGTTGACTCGCCTTTCGGGAAAGGCCCTAAACTGGGCGACAGATGTTTGGGGGGAGTCAGCTTTTTCCACCTATGCTGACTTCCTTCTGCAGTTTTGCTCAGTCTTTGATCACCCCGGGAAGAAGGCTGGTGACCAGCTACTCAAGCTCAGCCAAGGGAACAAAACCACTGCGGATTACACTCTCCAGTTCTGCGTGTAACCCATGTAACCATGGTAACCAAACTAAAAAAATCAGTCTCAACAGTATAGGTTCCAGGTCATGATAAGGTCACTTCCTCTTAGCCTTTTCCCACTCCTCACCTGAGCCCGGTGCGATTTGTACTCCTGGAAGCAGAAGAGATATCTTCCGGTTGTTCACTTTGCACTCTTCTCTTCCGAGAAGAGCTTCCTTGTCTTCCCGTTATCGAGTAGAAGATCCAAGAAGATTGGCGCTCTCTTCCAAAACAAAATGGCGTCCGCAGTGGATTTTTCCTAGCTTCATCTGACTGACACTGACCACAGATCCCGTATGCATCCACTGCAGTTATAATGGATTTGTACTTACATTGCAAGGCTTGCTAGGGTGAATACTATTGGCAGTTTACTTCTATATGTGTCTCTCTTCTCTAATTCCTCTAATTTCATAGCCATTATAAGCTGTTGCATGTTGTGCACTGCCATATTGATTCCTTCTGGCTGTTCGATCTATAATTAGAAGATGCGTCTTCCGGAAGGGTATTCCAGAAGGTGAAGTGCGCCAAATCGCACCGGCTCTGCAAGTGTTTGGTGCTGCTGCCAGCATGTGCTCCTATTCTCAATCTCAACCTTATTCTACACTGAGCGGTGAGTTTAAATCTTACACCTACCTTAAACATGGTTCAGTGTCTTTGGTTGTGTCATTTGGTTGCCAAAAAGGAAAAAAAAAGAAAAAAAGGTTGTTAAATGAGACCAACTTCAAAAGTTGGTATTGTTTGGTGCTAATGCTAATAATTTGGAATTTCCCATTGAGTTAGCTTGTTAGCTAAATGCTGAAGTGGGTGATTTACAAGCTAGCATTTCATTCCAAATAATGAATGAATCAAATGCATCACATGCATTACAATGCTATTGTTCTGTAGTATTTATTTGAGATGATTATTTGATTTATGTTGAATGATGCTAAATTAAATTATTTATGTTCAGTTATTTAAAATTTTTAGAATGACTTAATTTGAATGTATTTATTTTCTGAGATTTAATATGCTGGCTTTGATGATTTATGTTAAATGAATGATGATGATTTATGTTGTACAACTAAAGAGAAAAATGTGTTAAGTTTGGATACTGATTTTATTTATTTGACCTGACCTTTTAGGTCAGGTTTTTGTGAACAAGGATCAATAAGCTGAAACCATTGATCTTCAATCTGGATGGCGAGCTTCCCCGAACCTATGCCCTTTAAACCCCTTTTCCCCTCTTCCACCTAACTGGAACTTGCTAACACAAAGCAACTTTGAAACTTTTTGAAACTTTAAGGGCCCATATTTCATTTACTTGTGTTGTTATTTGTTATCCTTTTCATGCCTTTTTTCAATATATTCAGGGTTAAATTTTCCATCTGCCTGAAGTGTTTTTCATTGGTATTATCACACACATTGGGGCTCCACGCGAACCTGTTTCCTTCTGGTCTAATTATCAGTCAATCTTTTAATCAGTCAACTAATCATCATCATCCTTGTGCACTGGTTACATGCACCTTGGCTGCAGCCAGGGCTGGAATGGCTTTCAGGTGGCTTTCAGTAAGGACAGAGCTACACAGCTGCCCCCGCATCGACCATGGGACTATGCGATCGAGCTGCTACCTGGCGCCACACCACCAAGGAACCGAGTGTACCCTTTGTCCGTGACTGAAACACAAGCAATGGAGCAGTACGTGGAGGAAGCCCTGCAACAAGGTTTCATTCGCCCCTCCACTTCACCAGCGTCAGCCAGTTTTTTCTTCGTTCAGAAGAAGGACGGAGGTGTCTGCCCCTGTATAGATTACAGGGGCCTGAATGACGTCACGTGAAGAACCGTTACCCACTCCCCCTGGTCCCGAGCGCTGTGGAGCAGCTTCGTGGCGCGACAATATTCACAAAGTAAGACCTCCGCAGCGAATACAATCTGATACGCATCAGGAAAGGAGATGAGTGGAAAACCTGCATTCAGTACCACCTCAGGCCACTACGAGTACCAGGTTATGCCGAATGGATTAGTCAGTCAATGCCCCCTCCGTGTTCCAATCTTTCATCAACAATGTGCTATGAGACATGCTGGGGAGATACGTCATAGCCTATCTTGACGATATCTTAATCTACTCCCGCACTCGTGAGGAGCACGTGAGACTCGTGTATGGCTTTATATTAGCCTTAAAATTCGAGCGCATAAAAATTGAGCACGCAAGACCCTCTCTATGTGCTCGCAATTTCAATATGCGCTCTCAATTTTAAAACGTGCTTGCTTGCAACTTCAACACATGCTCTCAATGTCAAAATATGCTCGCAATGTCAGTATACACTCACTTGCCGATTTGACTTTTGAGACTTTGGAGGCAGGACTTTCAATGCTGACCATGAGCTTTGATTGGCTGTTTGATTTTAGAACTGGTTATCAGCTGCCGTGAACTACCAATTAAGAAATCTAAGAGGACAACTATTGTGGCTAGCTAAATATTTCACGTTTAAAAAGCTGGCTAACGTCAGTCCCCGCATTAATTCTTGTACTTATCTTGCCTATTTTAGCACCAATTTTCCCATGGCTATTCAATTTACATAGCAATACTATGTTCCTGAGTTGTTCTTAATGATCAGTTCCTTAAAACAATATTTTTTTTCCAACGCTGAAGACCCGGCCTAGAGTTAAGATCTTCAGTTTGTTCATTATTTGTGCAGAAAACGTAGAAGTGAGTTAATGCAAATGGTGAAGGAGGGAAGGTAGATTTCTTGACCAAGCGAACCTAAAGCCGTAACATGGCAGTGTTTTAATATTTGAAGTGGAGGTAGTGTGCGCACATCCAATTAAAAATACAGGTGCAAGACAAAAAACTTTCAAAATAGAGCAATAAAGAGGAAACAGTCTGCACAATGCCAGCTCCCAAAAGTACTGAGTTTATTTATTTGGCAATGTTTCGATCTACAGAGATCTTCCTCAGGCAGTGTTTTAATATTTGCAATAATATTGTAGTGAGCTATTGGCTCATTGGTCCTGCTTCAAGCTGATTGGTTGGCTGATTCACTCGCCAGTTATGATTGGTCCTCTTTCAGGCCTGCACTCAGCACAGCGCTCAGTGTGGCAGCCTCCACACTCTTAGTGACTGATTCTGCTGAGTCAAGGCATTTATCTGAGCCTTGAGTGCACGTATGAGTGAGGGAGAAATGAAGAGAGAGCAAAAGAAAGAGGGAGGAGGTGATGGATGAGTAAGAAAAGAGCAAAAAGGAGAGGATGTGAAAGTGGAGGACCTCTAGTTCCCTGACTGGGCCACACAGGTGTTTGCACAAAGCCAGCCATGGGCAGAGCCCCCGGTTGCCGTGGGATATGGGCGG